ATATTCTCATTAGGAGAATGAAAACCTACAGTATTTTGGCATAGCCTAATCTAAAATTCATATTTTAACAAAACCGCTTCACTGCTTACTGATATTTGATATTTGAAAAAGAGAAGTGCCTGCTAAATCTAGATTATGTAGAAAAAAAATGTATGTCTTTTTTTTTTTGGAATTATGATCAACAGAAAAAGAAAAAAAAAAATCCATCAAACCACAACACAATGGTCAGAAATGTAAAAATGGTGCATGCATATGAACCAAAAATTCAAAACAAACAAAAAAAAAAACTGTTTCAATAAATGACAAAAGTGGCCCTAATATGATATTTTTTAATTAATAATAATAACTAATACTATTATTACTCCAGCTAGTTTAAAGTGATGAAAGAGTACTGCAATAGTGCACCAGAGTCATTTTTCTCCTGAACCGTTGAGGAAAAATCCTGCTTCTGTCGTTTTTTCAATATAGTCTCATTACAAATGCTATATTAGCTTTTACAAGTCAAAGTCAGATATCAAAAGTAGGCCGTTTTGAGCTGTGATGTGCAGACACACGACACCTTAATTCCAGCTGACGTCTGATAGGATTCACATGCGCGCATCTCAAAGGAGCCGGGAATGAAAGACAGGTAAATCACTGTGAGTCAGACACACACCTAGACATGTTCAAACTTGATATCTTCAAAACATCATGGTGCTGACACAGATATAAGACAAGCTGACTCCAGTCAGATGAATCATGGGGAGGCATACAGCCTCTCTGGTTCTCATTTCCACACTCATTCACACCGGCTCGCTCTCATCTCACATCTGCCAGCCGTTCTCCTGTCTCAGCATGTGCTCAGACGGACCCCAGGTAAAATAATCACAGGGAGCTGCCGATCACAATTAAGAGCCGCGTGGAGTGCGTGTATCAACCATCCTGAAGCCGTGGAGTCAGAGGACATGACAACCATTTTGTGTAAAATTAAGGCAGCAGAGTGATTTTTGCAGCATTAAACACAGCTGAAGGTTGAGCCAAGAGCTCTCGCTGGAGGAAACGCTCGGAGATCTGCCCGTAGAAAAGAAAAACCGCAAATGAGATGACATGGAGATTAAATGCTTCTCAGATGTTTCTCCTGAACAAAAGACTCGCATACTCTCATGTCTATTTTAAATCTCATACGGTGCTCCGATTTACCAACATAAAGAGCAAATCACAAAAGAAATCTCTTTAATATCACAATTGAGATGATGAGAGCTTTCCTTAAGTCTGCTTTTCAGAGCTTTTCTCCTTAACAAAAGACTCAAATACTCTCATGTCTCCTTTAGAGTTTCAAATCTCAACAGCGTCTCACACTGTGCTCTGAACATCAAGCAGAAAATCAAAAAATGAGAAATCCATTTCTTTTTTAATTGTAAAATGGAAATGTTTACTTGCAGATGAATCTCCTGCTTCATGAAGTTACTCTCGTGGCTCCTTGAGTTGCAGATCTCAACAGTGTCTCATATTGTGCTCAGAATCACCAACACACATGTATTAAAACAAATACATTTATTTAATATTGCAATATTTTAGCACCTTGAGCCCATGACCCTCATGAAAATACATCGATTACACTACACAGACTCTATCAAAGAATGGCATTCATCACGGTTTATCCTCTTCTTTCACATGATTTGAGCTTCAACGCACGTCTCTGCAAAAAAATAACACGCAGCACTTTGACCTTAACAAGAAAAGAGTTCGAGATAGAGTCACTGAAGGGCAATTTTACTATTTAATCATTTACATGTAATTTCTAATGTGCATAATATGCTGATTATTATATGTATGTCAATATGCCTTTTAAGTTGTGTCATACAGCATGTAGTATCTAGATACACACACACACACACACACACACACACACTCAACCTCTCCTCCATGTCTTTTTGGTTTTCACATAATGACATTATTCACATTGGCCTATAATTATTAGCTGCACTTTGAAAAGTGAACGGCTCAAACGACTGCAGCACTGAGGAATGTCAATGTGAAATGACCTTAAGGACACTAGTGAACAAAGTTACTCAACGCATGGACCACTGACTAGGGCTGGGTATTGACACAAAATTCCCAATTTGATTCAAAAGCTTGGGAATTGATTAAATTTCAATCGATTCAATTCGATAGTGATTAAATAGGATATCATGTACAGTACATGTTAACTTTTTTCAAGGAATAAAATCACTCAACTAATGCTGTAAACTATACAGGGAATACTATTGCTTGGTACATTAATATTACAGTGATTTGTAAACAAACACTTAACTTGCACAAAGGGCAGTTTTTATAATAATAACAATATTATTATATAATAAAACACTATTTAAACTTTCAATGATGTTTATTTATCAGTGGATGTCATAAAAACTAGTTTGAGACATGAGTCATTTTTAGTAGCTACATCGTTCTGATTCTTTCAACACTCTGATTTTCATTCATGTTCATTTTTTACATTTCTTTTTACTTTTCCATGCTTTTAGCGGACAGGACAGGAGAGAACGACAGGAAATCGTGGGGTGGAGGGTTGGGAACGGGATTGGCAAAGAGCCGCAAGTCGGGACTCGAACTTGGGTTGCCAGAGGTGCAGTTGCACTATATGTCAGTGCGCTAGACTATCAACGCTGACCATTCATGTCGATTTTATGCAGTAACTAGTAGTAAAGAGGAAGAGACGATCGGTTCACATGTACTTGGATTGAGTCACGACACATCAAAGAGCGCCAAAGGCTATTGCTTGTATTTTGCAATAAATTTGAAAGAATTCAAAAAAGTAACAAAGCACAAATAATGTTTTGTGAAGTTTTGTTCACACATCAACTGAAAACAACATAAATCAATTCTTGGCATTTAAGAATCAATTGAAATGAAGTTCATTGAAATGACAATCAATTTCAACCTACCGCTGACAACTCAGCTCCGTTTCTAATGAGAATAACTTCATTCATTCACATTCACTGAGCATCAACACATGCTGACAAAACCTCAGCATGAGCCGAGAAGACTGTGTGTCGTTATGCAGGACTGGATTAAAAATCCATACAGCTGCATCAGATGAAACACTAAAGCGCCTGACGTACTTGTCAGGTATTGATTTTTCGTGCATAATCTGAGAAACTTCAACGAGGAGAAAAACGCTCTCCAAAGACAATACCTGTCTGCCGTAAATAGATTTTGTAGCGAGTCTGCAAAATATGCGCGGCGCTCTCTCGCAGCTGCTGTGATAAGCAACTTGCGTCCGCGGCCGGAGCTGTGATTTAACACAGACACAAGACCCTCTGTGACCTGCCAGCAACACAAGCACATACTGCTCTGCAGATGGGATGCGCTGCCAGGCGGCACGTGAGCACGACACATTCACATGAAAACTGTTCTTTCTTTCTTTCATGTCTCGCTCTGGTCTTGTGCATGATATAAAAAAGAAAATATCAAAATGTAACCTCTTTCTGTTGGTGCACATGGGAAATTATTATTAACCAATAATATTATTGCCCAATTTGGTTGCAAATGCCACTGGATGTTGCCTGTGAGACTCAAATTGACACTATTTACTTTCTTAAAAGGATAGCTCACCCAAAAATGAAAATCCTGTCATCGTTTAATACTCCGTCTTGTTTTAAACCTGTACGGGTTTCTTTCTTCAGCTGAATACAAAATAAGATATTTTGAAGAATGTGAGTAACCAAACAGCTGACGGTAGCCATTGACTTCCATAGTATTTTTTTTCCACTATGGAAGTCAATGGCTACCATCAGCTGTTTTGTTAACAGCATATTTTGTGTTCAACAGCTGAAAGAAATTAATACAGGTTTGGAACAACTTGAGGGTGAAAAAATGTTGACAAGATTTTCATTTTGAGGTGAACTATCTCTTTAAATCGTGTTCCTGCTCTTACTGGGAATATGATTCACGGGTACACATTGCAATCATTCCATGCATTTTAAATGCTTGCTTATGCATGCTTTCATCAAAATGTGACAACTTGCTCTGCCTCCATGATGATTTTTCTATATAGTGACTTTTCACAGTTCAATCAGATTGACTGATAGATCAAATCAATAGTTTTTTCTTTTTACTGGCTAATACATGTTAAAAAAATACAATGTTCAAAAAAGCTCCATACAGCTGACATACAGTCGAGTGCTGTTCTCCAGGAGCATCAGGCTCATTCCCACTGGGCTGATTAGACGACCGTTACACTGAATCTCAGCTCTCGGGGGCGAAAACACATGCTCATATTCTTCCATTCCTCCTCAGATTCACTAAACATCACTTTACACCCCATCTCTATCATTACATCCACACCGATGACAATGACCCGAGAGGCAAAGCATTATATTCATGAGCTAGCCATTCACGACTCCACGCACAAAAGCCTTGTTAAAGTCACACGGAAGACCTTGTTTTACCTCTGCTGTAAACCCACACACACCAGTGCAATCGTGTAATCACAGTCGGGTAAGAAATGTGCAGAATTTGCTATTGTGTCCGAGTGCCGCTCACAAGGCTTTCCTTTAAAACCATTTCAAAGTCAGCACACCAACTCCATTAAAGAAATGTAAAAGCAAACTTTCCCTCTGTCCTTCTCTGCAATCATGTTTCTATGACAGCCTGCAATGAAATGTACTCTGAATGTACCTGGGTAAAAGAATCAAGACGATTACAAACACGACTCCAGCGCTTTTGCTGTGAAAGCTGATTGCGAGGGAATTCTGGGAAGTGATGGCTTTCCTGTTAGTGTGCATTTAGGGGGTAAACACAGCTGAATTATACGTTGATATGTTTGTGTGCATTACTGCGGCTCACAGTCACACAAACCCCCGCAGCTCATGTGGACTTGAGGCTGACAGAGCGGCACATCAGGACGAGGTCATTGGTTCAAGTACTCAGACACAGATGCCCTGGACAGATGTTTATGATGATGATGATGATGATGATGGCAATGATGATGATAGCGGCATGGATTTACAACTCACCTTTCTCCGCATGTCCCATTTGAGCTGCGTCCAGAGAAAGAGAAAGAGAGCGATATCAGGGATTATCTCGCTCATTCACAGCGAGTGCTGATCCCCCTCTTCATTTCCATAACACGCTGGCATAATTACACCAGTCACTAATCAATCTCAGCCTTCCGTAATTTGCCATTTGTCATCCGTTGTTTTTGATTACTCTAATAGAATTAATCCGAGGGTTAGCCTCACTGATTAATTAATCAGCAATTACACAGACAGCTGTATCCCCCCCCACCAACCCCTGCAGACGAGCTGTGATACGGTTACAGTCAGACAGATGTGAGCATCACCCCAAATCACAAGATTAGACAGGTTAGATGTGCAGTAAAACGTTTGGCTGAAAACAGAAAACTTTGATGCTTTATTAAAGGGGTCATATGATGCGATTTCAAGTTTTCCTTTCTCTTTGGAGTGTTACAAGCTGATTGTGCATAGATAAGATCCCTGAAGTTGCAAAGACTAAAGTCTCAAAACCAAAGAGATATTCTTTATCAAAGTTAAGACTCTGCCACGCCCCCCTAAAACGGCTCGTTCTAACACGCCCCCACATATCTACCTCAGAAAAAGAAAAAAAAAACCTAGTTTGGTTTCATCTGACCTGTATTTTACAATAAATTTCCTTTATTTACAAAGCGATCTACATAATAATGCTGATGATATTACCAATAATGTGGTGAGAATTACAAAGTGATTCACAGGTTGTAATTTAATATCTGATACCGTGAGTAAAATCAAAAGAATTTATAGTGACACATCTGGAAAACTCATGCATTTCTCTCATTTGAAAGCATTTTAACATCGCAACAGCTCTATTTTGTCCTCATATCTGTATAAAACAACTAAAAACATCTGCCAAAAGTATTTGATGTGCTCCTCACCTGATATATTGTGGTCACATTTGCAGCTAAAACTGCTCAATACTAGAATATTACAATTATATATATATGTGTGTGTGTGTGTGTGTGTATATATTAAAAAGAAAACTGATTTTGACTCTCAAAAGCACTCTGCAACAAACCCCTGAAAGAAACATCATGAAGAATTGAACAAAATCAAGTTAATACAGTTTTAATCCTGCATTTTGAAAAGTTCATCAGGTTTTCACTAGTTCTAAAAACCCTCAAGAAAGAGCACTGCGCGGAAATCCTGTGAGAAATCATATTATAATGTCAAGCCAATCCGAAAGGATGCTAAAAGAAGCATAGCACTCTAGTAAAGAAACACATTCTTACGGGATTTTCTGTTCTTAAATGCTTCCAATGCTTTACTTTTTACCTGGACGTGTATAGTAAAAAGAAAACTGATTTTGACTCTCAAAAGCACTCTGCAACAAACCCCTGAAAGAAACATCATGAAGAATTGAACAAAATCAAGTTAATACAGTTTTAATCCTGCATTTTGAAAAGTTCATCAGGTTTTCACTAGTTCTAAAAACCCTCAAGAAAGAGCACTGCGCGGAAATCCTGTGAGAAATCATATTATAATGTCAAGCCAATCCGAAAGGATGCTAAAAGAAGCATAGCACTCTAGTAAAGAAACACATTCTTACGGGATTTTCTGTTCTTAAATGCTTCCAATGCTTTACTTTTTACCTGGACTTAGAATACGGTTTTCTTACGAGACTGTTAAAGGAGGTTTAGGAGTTTTAAACCCTCGCAGATTGTCCCGGTGATGTCCTACAGGAGAACCATTCGTCGAGTCGTTAGAAATTAAAACTAATTACATCTAGTTTGTGTGCTGTTGGACAGGAATACATCTCCCATTGGAACCACGACAGAATCCCGAGCGGACCGCTGAGGAGGTGTTAACGGGGTTCGGTGGAAGACTTTCACTGCGCGTCGCTATTCTCTCACACAAAGCCAGCCCAAATCATCCGCACCCCTCACTCATAACCTGCCAGAAGAGCCACCTGGACACACAGATGAACTTGTGATGTGGAAACTTGCGCTCGAGCCACACAGAAAGGTGCGCACGCATCCAAAAGCAACAGCCATGGAAACTTTTGCTCGTTCCGCTCCGGGGATCGTTAAAGGTGAATCTTTAGGCACTTACCGGGTGTGTACTGGGCTCCTGCGCTTCCAAACGCCGTATGCAGGAGTAACATGCTCAAAATGATGGTATCCATATCTGTCTGCCGAGTTGAGAAAGTTTTTGAAAGTGTTGGGAAATGTTTCTTATTCCAGCCGATCCGCGCGCCCCATGCTCTCTCTCCGCGTCTCGCTCCGATACTCTGTTGCGCTGCGAGCGCGAGACGTCTCCGGCGCTCTCCGCGAGCGGACAGGCGCCCCCTACTGACACACACACACACAGCTTTATCAGCTCACTTCAGTCTTCTGCTTCTCCACAGCTTTCGGCAATTAATTCAGCTCGAAACACTTAATGTGCTGAAAGACCTTTTGTTTAAAGCCACGCGTAAAACCTTACTACTTCCTGCCTGGAAACCTCACCTGCGCTAGGATCTGTACACACACAGCAAATCAAAAGCAGCCTGCACTTATAGCCAATCGCAAAGCCATTCTTGCCTGTCAGTCATTTTGAGTGACACTGTTAAATGACGCGTAGTGGGCGGGGTTTTGGGAGGAAGGCGGGTGCTTCGAGGGATTTGGGCTGATATATAGTGACTGGGTGGCCAGAAGTTAGGATCAAAACGTACAGCAACTTTAATGTACAGACTCTGTTTGGTAATTTAAAGGGGTCATATGATGATATTTTAAAGATCATTATTTTGTGTATTTGGTGTAACAGAATAGCGTGCACTTTTCATCTTTAGTTGCAGATGTCACAGTTATCTTCTTGCTGTCTAGCTGTATAAGTTTATCATGTTAATAAAGCTTGTTCAAATTAAACTGAACTGCATTGAGAAAGAGAAAATTAAAAGTTGACAGAAACGTAGGTGTGCATGTGTGTAATATTGCAGAGTTGAGGTCTCAGGGTCAGAGGTCATGACCTCCTCAGTCTCCTGCAACACCTCTGACTCTCCTGCAGTCATTACATGTTAACAACTGTATTTAATGCACATGCACAGGTGCGAGAGATCTTGAGCCTGAACCCAAAATTCAACCCTGCGCTACAAAAGCAGACAGAGCAAGAGCCAAACAACAAAGTGAATGAGTGAGCCGCTCGAGGCTGCAGGTATTGCAAAAATGAAAGAGAAAAAAACATAGACGAGCGCTTCAAACAGTCGCTCTGATAAACAAGGTTATGTGTACATAGCACCAGAGGAGTAAAGGTAGGCCAGGTTTATTAAAATAACAGTTTTCATATCTCTCGTCCCCCTCTGGTCTCCTCATTTCCCAGTTTGGAGCGCAGACGCTAGATCCACACAGCAGCTGAACGCGGCTGTCAGTCCTGTCTGGAGCGCTGAATCAAGTCCACTTCTGAAAGACACTGATTCTCTAAGCCTTTAATTATTCAGAGGCACAACAATTAAACTATACAAATATAACATTGCAAGTTATTCTTCAGCATCAGTTGCTAATGTTACTGTCAAACTCTCTGAGGATATAAAAATTGGATAAAAAATGATTGTGTGCTCAGGAATCAGTGTTAATGATTTAGCTTAATGAGATATGAATCACGAATAAAATAAAAGCATTCTTTAATTCAACTTGATTAAAAAAATAATATAACTTTTTTTTCCCTGTCAACTGAATATGTTATTAGTCTCTCTTTTTGTGCAGCAGTTGAATTATGTTTGGGATCTCGACTGATATTAGTGTTAAAAGTGCTCTCTGTGCTTTCTGTTCGTCTCTGTGATGGTCAGCATGCGTGATCCTCTAGAGACTGTGACCTGATGTTACCGTGAAGCCCCTCTCCGAATGCACCTTTATTTATGTGTGTGGACAGGTTTATATGGTTTATGAGGACACAAAAGGGGGCAGTCGTGGCCTAATGGTTAAAGAGTCGGACTTGTAAACCAAAGGTCGCTGGTGGGGAGAGTGAAAGACCAGCGCTCTCTTCCACCCTCAATGCCACGACTGAGGTGACACCCTTGAGTAAACCCTAGGTTCAGGGTAAGGGGATAGAAAATACAGTTTGTACAGTATAAAGGATTGGAACTGCTTAAAAAAAATAAAAACAACAGCAACATGTGATCGTGACACAGACATATATATATATATATATATATATGTGTGTGTGTGTGTATACACTACTACGACTACTACTATACTATACTGTACTGTATAGATATATACATAAACTACTACTGCTAACAAAATTAATAAAACTGCAATTAAAATAAAAATGAAAACTGAAAATAAACAATAAAAACTGATTCAAATGAGTCATTTAAAAAATCATTTTAATTTCAAGCAGTACATAAATGTTTTTAAATATACTATATATATTACATACATTATAAAATGATTTAAAAAAACTCTGCTGTAAGAAAAGTCAATACACACACCAGCACAAACAGACATACTGTTACAAAGAGATTTGCTAAGGTTTTGCCTTTCCTCCAAAGCCAAACACAAATGAGCAAACAGAATACATGTAAACTCATTCTCAACCATTACCTTACGACATGATTTACATCAATACAGCACAGAAATGTCACATTTCTTCCATTTCATTGTCATTCCCAGCAGGCCACAGCGACAGTCTTTATTTCCATTCATAGATTTAATATGTTTGAATGAAATGGAAACAATTTTTAATGATGATTTTTCATGTGAAAATGTTGGCTGTGAACACGCTGTTCCTCTCATACTCCACATCTGTTCAAATACAGATTTGTATAAAGTACAGATGAGTGCCCACTTTGTAACACTTCAAGACTTGAAGCCTGTTTATGCATTGCATTATAATGTATTACAATGCACATTGTGATACAGTCTTCAGAATCATTTTAACCACAGTTATAATATATATGTTAAATCGCAACGTCATCATTACAAATGTGTAATTACAAATATATTTAAAAATGCATGGCATACAAGTTTCAAGTATATTTTAGTTCATCATAAATGCTTGTCAGTACATTCAGCAGGACACTTAAACGATATTTCAAAGATAATAGATGTAATTATGGAATTACATATAAATATGCACTATACTGTACATGCAAATTATAATACAAAAATAACATGTGTAATGTATCCAAAAAATATTCACGGTCAATTATATTCTATTAATGTATATTATTTCTCTTAAGTACCCTTTAGAAAAGTACTTCTTTTTAACAAGGGCGATGACTAAATATCATAATGCTGTTTTTTAACCTCTTTCTACAATAAAGCACCTTACCTACTGTGTTTTTTTGTTAATATTCAATATATATTAATATATTAATAATCAGGGTCACACTGAATGATGGCTTGTGATAAACCGTGGTTGTGTTGAATCTGGTCCTCATGAACTCCTTCAGTTTCAGCAGGACATTGACGGTTAATTATGAATTAATAGAGTTTACATGAGGTCTGCATAGTGCTCTGTGTGTGTCCGCCCAGCTGATGACCAGCCACTCACTCACAGAGGAGAAGAGGACTTCATGTGATTACAGACGGCTCTTCATCCACGCCTCCTCTCATCTCCATCTCTATTAAATTCTTATAATGAAACGATCGATCCAGCCCCGGCTCATGATTAGTTAATACAGTGTTCCAGTCATGTATAAATCACTGTGCAGCACCTGTAGAGATCAACTGTTAGCCTTGGCTTGCATGTCACACTACAGAATGATATTCCATCAAATAACAATTTAACTAAATTGTGTGTCCTTAATATACTGTATATAATTTTTTTTTATGCTTCAACTGATTAATAAAAGCATTAAGCCTCTGGAGGTCATTCAATATTGTGAATCTAGTCACTCTGCTGTGTCCTCATGTTTAACAGCATCCTTATAGCAAGTGACAGTGTGTTCGTCATGTGACAATACATTGATATACATTCATAATTTCAGGAATTAGAGTTGTGTTTCCCCTCCAACAGTACACGATGTGTCTTTCCTTCAGAGAACGCTGAGCTCTGCTCTGATCTGTTGTGCCTTGAATTTTTCATGAATGTTTGCCTCTTGATTTTCTTCTGGTTATTTTGATTGATTATGGAGTCGCGTGTCTCTTTCATTCAATCACATGTGGTTTGTCTTCACTCAGAGCTAATGTGGCCTCTTACTTCTGTGTATTGCCATGACACACTAAAACCACAAAATCTTTGAGAAATTAGCAACTGTTCAATTTATCACAGCATACAGATCAGCTCACTGTCTGAGTCTTCAGTAGAGTTTCTGCTTTCATTAATATCTACTGTAAAATACACTTGAAAATCAACATTATGGCACACAAAATGATTTCATGAAAATGCAATAATCTTGAAACCAGCTGTGATCAGTCTCATTGTGTTTGTTTGATCCGAAGGAAATTCCAGCATGAAAAATAGAAATAGCCTATCATGAGCACATAGTGATGTGTAATTACTGTCAATTGTATTCAAAGTGCCGGCAAATCTCACGCTGTCATATTCATGACAAATTACATAACAGATTTGATTTTGATATGATTGTGGTAACATTATCAGTGAAGCTTGCATAAAACTTTACAGTAAGGTTCGCTTTGTTAGCATTAGTTCGAATGGATAACCATAATAACATTTAATAACCTTAGTTCATTTTAATTTCAACATTTAATAATGCATTTTTAAAATCAAAAATTATATTTGTTAACATTACTACATAATGCATTGTGAACTAATATGAATAATCAATGAATAATTGTATTTTATTAAGTAACATTAACAAAGATGAATAAATCCTGTAAAAACACATGCTTCTCAGTGTTAGTTCATGCATTTACTAATGTTAACAAATGAGAGCTTATTGTCAAGTGTTTCCATTTAGTGTTTTATAAAGGTAGTTGTTTAGCTTATGAGAGGTCATGCTGCAAATGTACTCATGACTAAAGGGTGTTATTAGGCATGACGTGACAGAACGAATATATATTCATACTGTAGCTGTTACTGTATCATGTTTTTTAGACTAGTGTTGTATTGACTAATCAGCATCCAGGACTGCAACTATCCAGTTTATAATGCACAATTTATATAATACATGATATAAAACAGTCATATACTGTAAAAATATATACATATACAAATCACACATATATATATATAGGCCCTCTATGTTTAGTAGATATCACCCTAACATGCTTCAGAACTGTGAAGTGGAGGTATATGATCAGTGCTGATCATCGATCTCTGTGACGAGTGAAGAGTCATGATTAATGATATTTAACCAGAAAGGTTCATCACTGATCAGATAGTCAAAGAGAGTGGGTGAGGGGTAGAAACACACTGAAGCTGATTTTTTTTTTGTAGCATTTCTACAGCTACATTTACACTGCAAGGCTTTAACGCATACATACGAGATTTA